CTGAGGACCCACCAGACTGCTTTCCAAAGTGGTTGTATAAGTGTACATTCCCACCAGTAGTGTAATAGGGTTCCTCTTTCTCCACATCCCCTCCAGCATTTGTCATTGGATGTGGGACATTCTGACTGGGGTAAGGTGGTATCTCAGGGTTGTCTTTATTTGCATTTCTTTCACCACCAGGGATGGTGAACATTTCCTCATGTGTTTCTTTGTCATTTTTATTTCTTCATCTGAGAAGTCTCTCTTTAGTTCCCTTGCCCATTTAGTAATTGGTTTGTTAGGTTTAGGAGGGATTAGTTTCTTGAGTTCCCTGTATATACTGGATACAACAATAAATTTTAAAAATATAAAAAAAAAAGCAAGCCAACCTAGAAGAGTTTAATTGGTTTGCAAAATGGAGATATTTATACAATGTGGCTCTTGGAAAGATTAAATTTTCCCAATACGTAGTTTAACACATTACTGGCACACCGTTTGTTAACTATTCTTAATATTTCTCCAATCCACCCTAATCTCTGATTATACCATTCACCTGATTTGAAACTTCATTTGTGTGTGTGTGTGTGTGTGTGTGCGCGCGCGCGCACGCACGTGTGGATGTGTGTGTGCCAGTCCTGGGGCTTGAATTTAGGGCCTGTGTGTTTCCTTTAAGCCTTTTTTCTGAAGGCTAGCAGCTCTACCACAATTCTACTTCTAACTTTTGGTGGCTAACTGGAGATAAGAGCCAGTGGCTCACGCCTGTAATCCTAGCTACTCAGGAGGCTGAGATCTGAGGATCGTGGTTCAAAGCCAGCCCAGGCAAGAAAATCCGTGAGACTCTTATCTACAATAAACCATTAGAAAACCAGAAGTGGTGCTGTGGCTCAAGTAGTAGAGCTCTCGCCTTGAGCTGAAGAGCGCAGGGACAGCGCCCAAACCCAGAGTTCAAACCCCACGACCGACCAAAAAAAAAAAAAAAATGAGCAAAGATTTCCTGCCCAGCTTAGTTTTGAACTACAATCCTTAGATCTCAGCCTCCTAGGTAGTTAGGATGACAGGCTCCAGAGGGAGCCAGGCTGAGACTGCATCTTATTGCTAGTACACTTGTAGATAGACTGGACTTCATCAAACTTAAGGAAGCTAGAGTCTTTCTGTGCGGGCTGGAGAAGCCCTATGTTCCGCGTCCAACAACAAAAACAAAAACTTTTATGCGTGAAATAAAGGTCTAGTATCTATAACATATAAAGAACCCTTCTTAAACCTAAAAAATCAAGTCAGCTCAAAGTCCATGAAATTCTTATTTCCAATCAGCAAAAAACCAGAAGTATAGATAAGGCTCAAGTGGTAAAGTATCAGCCTTCAGCAAAACAAGCCAAGCAAGAGCACAAAGCCCTGAGTTCAAGTCCTATACAGGAACAAAAAATAAAAAATAAATCTACAAAATAATCTTGCAAGCTATTACAACAGCTGAAATTGAAAAATATTGCCCATAAGACACTGGTGAGAGGAAATGGCACTATAGCTCAAGCGGTAGAGTGCTTGCCTTGAGCTGAAGAGCTGAGGGAAAACGCTCAGGCCCAGAGTTCAAGCCCCACGACCAACAACAAAAAAAGAGACACTGGTGAGAATGTGGTGGGAAGCCAGGTACACTGACTCAATGCCTGTAATCCTAGCTACTTGGGAGGTGAAGATTGGAGAATGCAGTTCGAGGTCAGCTAGGTAGTTTGCAAAGGGCTGCATGGCTTTAGTTGGGAGCAAAAAAGCTGAGCATGACCAAGTGAGGCCCTGAAATACCACAAAAAAAAAAAAGCACCTGATACCAGTGACTCATGCCTGTAATCCTAGCTACTCAGGACCCTGAGATCTCAGGATTGCAGTTCAAAGCCAGCCCAGGCAGGAATATCCGTGAGACTCATTTCCAATTAACCACCAGAAAACCAAAGTGGCACTGAGGCTTAAAGTGGTAGAACACTAGCCTTGAGCTGAAGAGATCATGGATAGCGCCCAGACCTAGAGTTCAAGCCCCACAACCAACAACAACAAAAATTTCAAGACTTTATCTCAATGACTCCAATGACTAGGTATAGAGGCCTACCTGTTATCTCCAGCTATGGAGGAAGCACAATGGCTGGGGCACAATGATACATACCTGTTATCCTCTAAAACATGGGAAAGTAAGAAGATGCTAGCCCAGGCATAACGTGAGACCCTACCTTGAAAATAACCAATAAAAAAATGAGCTGGCGCCAGGGGCTAGTAGCTCATTTATATAAATTCCTGGCTACTCAAGAGGCTGAGATCTGAGAATTGTAGTTCAAAGCCAGCCTGGGCAGACAAATCTGAAAACTCCAATTAATCTCCAGTTAACCAGCAAAAATCCAGAAGTAGAGGAATGACTCAATGGTAGAGTCCAGCCATGTACCAAGTATCCTACTACCAACACAAAAAGAAAAAAAAGGAGGGAGGAATATGGCTGGAGGCATAGCTCATGTGGTAGAGCAACTGCCCAGCAAGCAACTGAACTCAATCCCCAGTACTGGAAAAAAAATTTTTTTTTTTTTTTAAGAAAATGGCCCTTTCATGTTGTTGGTGGGAATGTAATACAGCATAACTACTTGGGAAAAGAGTCTGGTACATAATCCAGATATGACATTCTAACCATTTGTCCATAAAAAAGGGAAATATGTCTCCACTTATGTGTCTACAAATACTTCTGTAGAAACAAAGATTGAAAATAATGAAAATTCCTATCAACAGGGCAAACTGCTTAGTGAGGGGAAAGCATAAGGTGTTTGGTGGAAACATGAGCATTCTGTTAGAAAATTAAGTACAATGGTAGCTGGAGTGATGTAAAGTAAACTAGAGTAAGGTGATCTGTGATAACTTACCTCAGAAAGAGGCACAAAAGGAGTTTGAAGATGAAATCCAGAAGGGATATTCTTTAAGTTGCAGTGAGCCAATGAAATCAAGCTCCAAGAACTAATGCTATCAAAATCCATATTTTAAGAAGGTCCAAGCCAGACACTGGTGGCTCATGCCGATAATTCTAGCTACTCAGGAAGCTAAGATCTGAGGCTCACGGTTCAAAGCCAGCCCAGGCAGGAACTTCTGTGTGAGACTCTTATCTCCAAGTAACCACCAGAAAACCTGAAGTGGCGCTGTGGCTCAAGGAATAGAGAGCTTACCTTGAGCTGAAGAGCTCAGAGACAGTGCCCAAGCCCAGAGTTCAAGCCCCATGACCGAAGGAAAAAAAAAAAAGAAGCTCCAGCCAAGCGGTGCATACCTATAACCACAGGATTTGCAACGCTGAGGCTACCTGAGCTACACAGCAGGAAAGGAAATTGCCTAAAACACTGTCCCCATACACAGAATTTCTTACCGTATACACTGCCAGCAAAGCCAACTGATTATAGGGACGCCCATTCTTGGGAGCAATGTGCTGGGCCTTCAGGTACCAACTAGAAGAGAAAAACAGTAGGAAAATGTTAGTTACATACCACTCTTTCTCAATTTATTCTGATAGCCCTACTACTTATTCTGGAGAGTTAGCTAGATATGGAATGGTAAAGCACAATTAAAGTGACCAGTAGGGGCACCCATATACCATATCTATATGAGAGGTCAGTATTCAAATGAGCCATACCTTATTAGGGCTTCATTTAATGTCACACAGGGAAAAGAAATAATGAACTGAGAGGTAAAAGTACCTGCGTGCTTTCCCATAGTTTGCTGTATCATTGGCTTGCTCCCGATACCTAGCAATATCTCCTTGACAAATCATACATCGCTGAGCACTAATCAAAGCATATTTTACCTTCAAGAGAAACAATGAGTTAGTAGAGTACCCAAGAAACACTATAATTTACACACTAAAAGTCAGGGGTGGGATTAAAATAACAGAACAACACTGATAAGGCACTAAGTCTTCAACAAAGAATAAAGCTCTCAGCCAAGTAAACTTGACCACCAAAATAGAGTCAACAGCATATAATATTTTTCCGATAAAATATAATGGCAAAAGGGAGAGGGTTAATTCTTATTTTGAAACACAAACAAATGAAGAATACACTTTGAAATTAAAAGTAACCTGATTGCCAGGCGCTGGTGGCTCACGCTGTAATTCTAGCTACTCAGGAGGCTGAGATCTGAGAATCACAATTCAAAGCCAGCCTGAGCAAGAAAGTCCATGAGACTCTTATCTCCAATTAACCAGTAGAAAACCAGAAATGGTGCTATAGCTCAATAGTAGAATGTTCACCTTCAGCTGAAGAGCACAGGGAAAGTGCCCAGGCCCAGAGTTCAAGACCTACAACTGACCAAAAAAAAAAAAGTAACCTCACTTTCCGATGTTGTGATTCCCAAGAAAAATCTTTGAGACACCTGAGACTGGAGTTGATCTGAGTATAAAATATTACAGGGTAGCCAAGTACGGGTGGATCACACCTATAATCCTAACTACTTATATGAGGCTGAGATCTGAGAACTGGTTTGAAGCCAGCCCAGGCAGAAAAGCCCAAGACACTCTTATCTCCAATAAACTACCCAGAAAAAACTAGAAGTAGGGCTGTGGCTTAAGTGATAGAGCACTAGCCTTGGGCACAAAGATACTCTGGGACAACACCCAGACTCTGAGTTCAAGGCCCAGGACCAGTTAAAAAAAAAAAAAAAGGCATCAGTGATTCACGCCTGTAATTCTAGCTACTCAGGAGGCTGAGATCTGAGGACTGAGGTACAAAGCCAGCCCAGGCAGGAAAGTCCATGAGACTCATCTCCAATAAACAATTAGAAAACCGGAAGTGG